ATGGGTAGCTGGGTTGTTTCCAACTCTTAGCTATTGTAAACAAAGCCACGATAAACATGGGTGCGCATATAGTTGATGGTTTTAAGGACTAAGTACCTTGTGGTGTTATTGTTTATCGTCAGGGTCTACTATTTATCTGAATTGAGTCACAGAGTTGAAATCAGTTTTAGACTGAAAAGGTGGCTCAGGGCCATAATCCATGGGCTTCCACAAGTTCCTTTCAGACCAGAACCCCAGGCATTTTTAGGATTTTGAGTTTTGTTCTGCATTTTCCGCCCACTTGATCTAAGACGACATACTGTGGTCCCTTTCAGCATAGTCACTAGTGGTAGCTGGGCACTCTCTAGTCCTTCCGATCTCGGGGACGTGGGGGCCGAGGTTCTTATGGTTCATTAATACTGTGGATTTTGTTTCTACTGTGCAGCTTTGATTTCCTTTGCTTTTCCTGGTCCAGACAGGGAGACACCATTATTGCACCTTAGACAGCTTCTGGCAAGTTTTAAAACATCATCAATACTCACCGCAGCAGGACGCAGATGTTGTCTGTGGACCGTGTGTGGTACTGGCACTGTTGTCTAATGTCACTACTTGGGAGCAAAGTGTCTCTAAAACAAGCCCCTATATAAGAATTCCCTACTGAGAATGTCCCAGGACCTTCCCCTCATGCAGTAAATGTGGAAGCATGGACAGAGTCCAACACAATCATTTCACAAATTTGGAAACTGATGCCAAATCTGAGCATCTAGGGCTGGGATTTGCCCAGGTCTCCGGGCATTAAGGGGAAGGTGGCAGGGGTGGGGGGTGGAGTCTGTGTCTCTTGTCCTCTGACTTGGTGCCCTGCTAAGGTCCCTGACAGCAAATCTTTAAGACTTTTTATTGTGATTTGAGTGAATATTTATAGAGCAAACGGTTTTCTCTTCAATGCTCTCACACGTTTTGTTTCATGACATTGATCTCAATCTCCATAATATGACAGCACTTCTCTGCTTCTTTCTTGTGTTTTCTCTTTCCACTCATCATTCTGTTCTACCCCTTCTTGCCTTCTGAGTTTTATCCTTGTGAAAATCCTGCCCGTTTGCTCTGCATATGGTTTGGTTGATTGCTCCGAGGGTGTGTTACTGGTCATCCTACGTGTATCTGGTCTTCCACGCTCTTTGTTCCTACAATCAACACTCTTGGCACCAGCAGCCAGGCAATCAAAAGACGAATTGCATTGGGAAAGTGTGCTGTCAGAGATCTCTCCAAGGTACTGAGGAGCAACAATATCAGTCTGGAGACTAAGGTGTGCCTGATACAGGCCATGGTCTTTGCCATTACTTGCTATGCCTCAGAGAGTGGGACAATGACTAGGGATGACAGAAAGAGAATTGATGCCTTTCAGCTGTGTTGCTGGAGAAGAGTATTGAATATACCATGGACAGTAAGGAGAACAAACAGGTTCATCCCGGAGAGGGTGAAGCTGGACTGTTCCTTGGCGTCAAAGATTCTGAAGCCTTTTGTGACATACTTTGGACATGTTGCAAGGTGGGACCAGTACTTGGAGAGGGACATCATGCTTGGGAGAGTGGAGAGACAGCACAGGAGAGGAAGACCTTCGATGAGATGGATTGATTCCATCACGGGGCGTGTCAGAGACAATAAGAGTGGCAAGAGATAGAGCAGGGTCTAGAGCTGTTGTACATAAGGTATCTATGAGTTGCAGGTGAATCGATGGCACATAACAACAACATGTATCTGGTGTTTGGTTGAGTTATGAGGGTGATTTCGGGTCCAGAATTGAAGGGACCTAAGAGCCCCCAGTCTCTGCTGGACCGGTGAACCAGGTATTTATTGGTAATTTTGAGTTTTGTCCCTCATTTTCTCCCATTCTCTCAGGAACTGCAGCATATCTCTCAAAGGCCTGTCTGGGCCACTTTTCTGAGTCACCCAGCCGTGACAGCAAGTGTCCAATGACTCCTGCCTTCTCTCTGTTTCTCAGGAAAGAAAGACAACCTCATCTCACGGCTGAACAATAAACCATGAAGTCCAGCGAAAAGGGCCCAGCAGACAACAGCAGAAATGGCGTGGCGAAAAAGAAATCGGTCAGTCCTGATGTTCTTTGTCTCATGCGTGTGAGGTCAGGGCACCTGGGGCAGTCTTTCCTGGTTCTCATTCTCCCCCTTTCCTTCAAGTAGAGTGGAGTTTAGGGGAAGCTAGGCAAACAGAGAGCAGTGGCCCCAAGTGAAATGACAGGGGGGAAAAGCCATGTGAATTGGGACACTCAGGGGTCTGATGATACTAATAAACTCACATGCTGGAGACTGTCTGGGCTTTGGGGTCTCCATTCTGAAGGCCATATCTCCTCAAGGGGTCAGCTTGTGTGGAAGACGATTATGCCATCATCTTTGAGGAAGTACTGAAACTCATTCCCTGCCCCAAGTGACTAGGTGGCATACATGGTTAAGCACTTGACTATTAGTGGAAAGATTGGTGGTTCTGATGCAGCCAGAGGTGTCTTGGCAGACAGCCCTGGTGGTCAGCTTCTGAAAGGTCACAGCCCTGGGAACACTGTGGAGCAGTTCTACTCTCTACACATAGAGTGACCATGAGTCACAACTAACAACAAGAAGGACTAAGGTGCTCCTGACACAAGTCATGGAACATAGAGTTGCCACAAGTGACAGCTAACAACAAGAAGGACTAAGGTGCTCCTGACTTGAGTCATTCAAAGGCCTTATATCCATGCAAAAGCTAGAATGAATAAAAAGGCATGAGGAAGAACTGATGCCTCTGAATTATAGTGTTGGCAAAGAATATTGAATATACCATGGACTGCCAAGAGAACAAACAGGTCTGTGTGGGGAAAAGGGCAGCTCCTTAGAGGTCAGGATGTACTTTGTGCTGACAGGAGGGACCAGTCCCTGGAGGATGACATCAGCCTTGCTGACCTGTGTTGTCCCATGGTACACAGGCTTCTTGGGTCAGAACCAACTCGATGGCACCTAACAATAACCATGGTCCTTCTCCCACCACAGTGTCTAGTCCAGCTTGGGCGCAAAGCCCATGCTTCGGTGGTGGTGCTTTCTCTTCCGAGACGGATGTGGAGGCCCACGTGACCCAGGAAAACCATGCTCATATTTATAATAAACGATGTTCACACAGTCTAATTTCTCGGCAGCTGTGAGATGGGTGTGCCAAGCCTCAGTGTCCCCCTCACACCTGTGTGGAGAGGTGCAGGGCGGAAGCCACCTGCTTCAGATCACCCAGGAGTGTGACAAGCTTGCGTTAAATGCACACCGTGCCCTCTCAGCAGAAAGCATCTATTATTCTTGGTGCCTGCACCAGATGGAGTCACGTACCACTGTCCGGGCCACTGACACGATGGAGGAGAGAGTGTGGCCATTTTTAATAGTCTGCTTGGATGATATCTAACAGAAAACTTGCCCTGTCCTGTCCTTCAACCTTTCTCCTGCTGGAAGATTCACCTCGTCTAAGTTTATTTTATGGCCTTACTCAAAGGTCAGTCTGGGTTCAGCTCTAGAAATGCCTGCTGGAACTCCTCTATACAGGGCAGGAGGGAGGGCCTGGAAAGACACAGACGCAGGACACACAGGGAGCCCCTGAGCAGGGACAGTGAATGCACTCAACTGCTACGTGAAGGTGGAAGGTTCAAGTCTCCCCAGAGGTGCCTCGGAAGAAAGGCCTGGCAATCTGTCTCTGCAAATTCAGCCACTGGAGACTCAAGGGAACACGGTGCTACTATAACTCAGATCGGGTCTGAGTTGACCCCAAGGCTGGTGGGACACATGTAATGGAGTCCCTGCCCCCAGAGAGCCTGTCCAGAGAGGAGGAGCATGCGAAGACAGGGATGGTGACAGCTGGGGCAGATGTGAACAGCATAAGGTGCCGGGAGAGAAATCTGGAGAGGCTCCTCAGAGGAGGTGGTGTGGAAGCAGCAGGAAGAGCAAGGCCGGGAGTAACAAGGAGGTAGAAGATGTCAAAGGACTCCGGAAAAATGAGTCATAGGACGTGCTTTTGAGCACAGCTTCCCACATGCACGGGTCAGGGTGGGAGACTCCATAGCAGCCTTGGTTTTCAAGCCTGTGTCCGACAGGTGCTAGATGAGCAGGAGGGAGAGACGAGCTGTGAGTGTGACTATTTCTGCTGCAAACCCTCAGGGCCAGGTTTATTCTAGAGCAACGGACAGGTGGCACGCACGCCCCACGGCTACGTCCCACGTGAACCTCGGAATCCGCTCTGGGTGACTCCACAGCTTCACTTACAGGTGCACAAACACCGTGTCAGAGAAGCTGAGTGACTTATGTGACGTCGCCCAGGTGAAAAGATGTGGAGCTGGGCTTAGAAGCTGGGGGACATTCTTTGTCTGTCCGAGCATTACAGAGGGACCTCTGGTGGCCTAGGGGTAACAAATTGCACCATTGACCCAAAGGCATGTAGTTCAAATCTGCCAGCTGCTCCAGGAGCAAAGATGGCATTCAACTCCCGTGTGATTTACTGCCTCCGAAAATCCGCTGATGGGTCAGCTCTGCATCTGTCCTGACTTGACAGTACACAAACCCAGCAACGACAAGATAAAAGAGCTCTTCCTGGGACTCTGCTCATCACTCCAACAATGCATGCATGCTGGCCTGATTAAAAAAATCCTCAAAGGAGACAGAGACGTAATCCTGGCCGGGTCACCTGGGACACAGCCTTCCTTCCTGGAGTGGAGGCATCAGCTGCTGCAAGGGACTGGGGAGGGGGGGCAGCATCACCGATCACCATGATCACCATGCCGCTGCTTGGGTTCCTGTGCAGACTCCAGTATGTTGCCTCATTTCCCGTTCTCAGTCCCGCCCTCTGGCCCATGGACTCTGCCTCCTCCCGTGCTCAAATGTCCCAGCAGAGCCCAGGGTCCCAGGATCACTGTGGGGCAAGCTGCCACTAGGGTTACCACGCCACCAGGGCCAGAGCACCAGTAGGGGCACCAAGCCCCTGCCCGGGTCACCAGGAACCAAAGCATGGAGTCCCAGGAGCGGAGCCTAGCTGCACTCACCGGGGACGCCAGCACCTCCCAGGCCACAGGGAGGGGGACGCCCCAGTGGGAACGCCAGAGGCACAGGAAGGTAAAATCTCTGTGGCTTCTGTAGGCCTAGAGGTTGGGGGCGGTCCCTCCATGTCTTGGTCTTGCCAACTGGCAGCTGTCCCAGCTAAAGGCAGGGGCGGTGCACAGAGAGGCTTTGCCACTGGCTCAAGGCCACCCAGTTATATGGGGTGGAGTTGGGAGGCCGAGTTAGACAGGGAGATAAGCTTTAAACCTGGAAGAAGGGATCCCCTGGAATCTTCAGAGGAGGGGATATTTGTGACAGATTTTAAACAAGAATCTCAAAAGAGGAAGATTTGGGGCGGATATGACGGCCCAGGCAAGGCTGAGTGAGACTGCTAACTTTTATCTGGGCAACGGTCCTTCTTGTGGTTGGACCAGAAGGAAGTGGAGTAAGAAAGCACCCCTTTCTCAGTAAGAACCCTTCCCAGCTCATGATTCATGTACACATCCTTCCCGGGTTCCCAGCCAGTAATGGTCCACTCCTCCACAGCCTGATGCAGGCAGTACCATCACTAAAGCCCCATTTTACAGGCGGGCAAGCTGAGGACCAGCAAGGGCCAATAACAGACTGAGGCTCCCACAGATGAGTGGTGGAGCCATCCAGCCCTGGAGCCTGTGCCAAGCTGGGATTGACCAGGGGTCCTGCTTGCATCTCCAGGCACCATTTGACATTTCTGTCCCCTGCACTGTGCCGGACACCCACTCCCTCCCATCACTGTGCCTGAACCCCACTCCCTCCCATTCATTCTTTGCACTCTGTCAAAGGTGGCACCTAAAAGACACCCATACTTGGAGGGGGTGGACAGGGAGAAAAGTGCAACAGTGAATGACGGGAAACCCTAAGTCTCTGTAAACTTTCATTAAAATTAATAAAATAAAAAAAAGAAAGACACTCATACTCACACACCCACATGCACATGATAACAGGAAGGGCTCCGTCCGGGAACCCCTGGGGAACCCTCCCATCTGGCCAGGCGGTCAGCCTTTCCTGCCTCTGGCTCCTGCCAGCTGACCAGCCTCTGCCAAAGCAGCACAGAGGCAAACATGTTCTGGCCTGCAGCCCTGCAGTGACGGCGTGCGTCCTCCGGCTGCGGGCAGGATTACTCTGGGACAAGTCTGCTCCTTCCAGGCCTCCAGCTTCCTCTCCAGGGTTCTGAGGACACTGGGCACCTTGGTGTGAAACAGTGTGTATGTGAAAAATAGAAATAATATAAATATAGAAATAGAAACAGATGCATGTGTGCACAAATGTGAGCGTGTGGGGCACACACATGCACGTGTGTTGATAATCACATATGTACACACACCAGGGCTATACGACCTAGAATGTTTGAACAAAATGTAACAACAATAACATCAACATAGAGAGTGATCAGTTGACCTAGTGGACACAAAGCGATGCTACCAAGCCAAAAGTGGGTGACTAATTCGCAGCCCTCAGGCCTGTTTTTCATTGTTTTGGTCAAACATTCTTCTAGGTCGTATAGCACTGGTGTGTCCACTTGCTGTACAGAGGTAACTTGTGGTTGCTGTGAAGCTGAACACTGTGACGCTGATGTGTAAAATGCTATAACGGTTACCCATGGTGGACAGTGTTTGGTGGAGCTTCCTGATAAAACAAACTTGGAAGCAGGAGAGGCATCCACTTCCATACTAGCTTGCCTCCAGAAACCCTAGGAACCTGGAGAAAGGATGAAAGTCACACAAATGTTGAGGACTTTCACTCATAGGGTTGCTAGGAGTCGCCTGCGACTCAACAGCACTTAACAACAACATGTGCACCTAAATACATAGGCATGTACACGTATACACGTATGTGTGTATTCACACACTTATTTGTGCACACGTACACAAGTGGTGTGGCCCATGACTGCATGGGTGCTGCAGTTGCACGCCCCCAGGCCAGTTCCCGTCCCAGCCAGCACCTGGAAATAGCCTGGCCCCTCTGTTTCCCTGCGCGCACACCTGGACAGAACGTTGCTGGTGGTGTGTGCTTCTGAGGTACTTCTGCGTCAGGCTTTCTGTCAGCGGTGGAGTAGATGAACTCTATCAGCCCCAGACTCCAGTAAAGGTGCCCTCTGGCCACCGGGAACACAGTTAAAGGCGGTGTGTGGAGGTGGGGGTGAGGGTGGGGGTGAAGCAAGGACAGGTTAATGAGTAAGCATTTTACTCACTGGCTTCCCGGGGCAGGCTTCACGGCAGGCACTGGCTAACCCCGTGGGAGCAAGTTAACACATGTGACATCACATTAAAGGCGGTGCGAAGAGCCGTGGTGGCACCGTATCTAAGCGCTTTACTGCCAATGAAAGTTTCGCTGGTTCGAATCCCTTTGCCAGCCACTGCTGCTCCCTGAGAAAAGGAGAAGACAATCTGCTTCTGTAAAAATGTGCAGCCTTGAATAACAACGAAATTTTCCCCCCTTTTACTTTTCAAAGAAAAAAGTTAATAGGGGTGAAGGGGTGGGCAGGGAGAAAAGTGCGACAATGACTGAATGGAAATTTAAAAAAAACAACCACAAACTAAAACAAAACAAAACAAAACAAACCCACTGGGTAAACTCCCCCCAAAAAATGTGCAGCCTTGGAAAGGCTATGGAGCAGCTCTGCCCTGACTCGGAATTGACCTAATAACAGTGGGGTTTTTGTTTTTTAACTTTTTCTTTTATATTAGCTAGCTTACAAAGTTCGTATACGTCGTGTTTCACACCATCCTTCATTTGACACTGGGCTTGGTTGGGGGGTTTTGGCTGATGTGACGGGGCATAGGTGAAATGTGCCCTGTAGAATGGTGGGAAGGCCTGACTGGACCGGAGTGGACACGTGGATAAGGTTTTCGGACCCTGAGTAAGGGTCCTCTCGCAGAGCACCTGCACAGGGGACCTGGGGCCACCTCTGGACTCCATCACCTTCCCTTGCATTTGGAGCAGGAGATGGGGCGGTCCAGGTGGGGTGTAGGTGGGGTCCACATGGGGTGCAGGTGGGGCCCAGGTGGGGCCCAGGTGGGGTCCAGGTGGGGCGCAGGTGGGGTCCAGGTGGGGTGCAGGTGGGGTGCAGGTGGGGTCCAGGTGGGGTCCACGCACCCTCGCCCCTGCTCCTGGGTGCCACGTCTCACGTGTCTCCTCTCGTCCCCCAGCACTGGTCCTGCTCGCTCGTCGTGGCCTCGCTCGTGGGCGCCTTCGGCTCCTCCTTCCTCTACGGGTACAACCTGTCGGTGGTGAACGCGCCCACACCGGTGAGTCCTGCGCCGCGCTCCCAGCAGAGGGCGCCGTAGCCGCGCGGATGGCTGCCTGTCCCTCCCCTGGGTGCTGGCGGCCCACTGCGCGGAGCTTATAGCATCCCTGTTCTGGGTGGGTGCGGAGGACAGAGGGTGCAAAGCAGGGAAGGGGTACAGCGTGGGAGGAGGGGGTGCAGAAGCGAGGACAGGAGGTTCAGGGGCAGGAGCCAGGAGCGTGGGGCGTAGTCTACCAGCATCAGAGGCACAGAGGGGCTTTGTGCATAGAAACATGTCATCAAATCAATTTCAACTCCTGCTCATCCCTGAGTACCAGAGCAGAACCGTGTTCCACAGCAACGTCCACGATTTCTCACAAGGAAATTGGCAGGCCTCTCTTCCAAGGTACCTTTGAGTGAACTTGAGTCTGTCAGTTCAAAGTTGAGCACTGTAACTGTTTGCACCACCAGGGACTCTACACAGGCCTGAAAAGAAATCCAAGTGGCTTCCAGCTCACGGCCAGCCCGTGTGTTACTGAGTAGACCTGCTTCCCAGAGCCGTCTTGGCTATCATCCTCACAGAGCAGATTGCCCGGCCTTTCCTCCATGGTGTCTCTGTATGGGCTCGAACTGCCAGTGTTTGGCTTAGTCACACACGAGCTCAAGCTCAGCGTCATCCAATCAGAACCTCTTAGTGGATGCTCCAGCGGATTTTCAGAGACTGGAGATTGCACAGGAGGAGAGCCTGCCCATCTTTGTCCTGCAGAGAAACTGGTGGATTCAAACTCTGTGTCTTTAGGTTGGCAGCACAACTTCTGACCCACTAGGCCACCACAGCGCCCCTGTTGGTTTAGTGTGGTTGTTGTTAAGTGCTGTTGAATTGGAACTGACTCGTAGCTGGCCATCCAGTGGGTTTTCAGAGGCTGGAAATCACATGACAGAAGATCATCTGTCTTTCCCCCACTGAGTAGCTGGTGGATGTAAGCCATCTGCCCTTGGGCTGACAGCATAACTCCTTACCACCAAGATACCAGAGCTCCCTTTGCTGTTGTTTGGCATCATCGAGTCAGAACCGACTCACAGCTGGGCGTCCAGCAGATTTTCAGAGACAGTGAGGAGTTTGTCCATCCTTCTCTTGTGGACCCACGCAAACGACAGGGACCAAACTTTTCTTAGTTTGCTTTTTGGATGTTTATCACTCCAGTCACCACTAGAGGCCGCTCAGGCATCTGCTGGGGGAGGTTGGGTGGAAGCCCTGATGGGTTTTGTTTGATGCTAAACTCAAATCATTATGTGCAATTCTCTAGCCCCTTTCAGTTTGCAGGTGAAAAGTCAGTAGCTTCCCCTCCCCTGGGTTAAGGTTGGGTACCCCAGCCTTCTACTGGGTAGTGATTCCTCTGGTGGCCTGGTGATAAGAAGCTGTACCACAATCCCAAAGGCAAGAGGTTCAAATCCATCAGCTGCCCCACAGGAGAAAGAGGGGCAGTCTTCTCCCGTGTGATTTACAGCCTCTGGAAACCCACTGTAGGGTCAGCTATGAGCGGGTTCTCAACAGCGCATAACAACAACAACTTTGAGGTTAGGTGATATGGGATTTTCATGGACTGAATTATTGTTTCCCCTAAAATATGTGTCAGCGAGTTCTGGTGGATTGTTGTTGTTGTTGTTTATCGTAGGGTTGGATTCAACCAATAGCTGACCCTCCGGTGAGTTTTCAGAGGCAGTTAATGCATGAAAGGAGACTGCCCATCCTTCTCCCACAGAGCATAGTCCGTAGGGGGCTGTGCTTCCGACCCCAAGACCCCAGTGGTTTGAGTCCCACGTAGGAGATTACCCGTGTATCTCCCATGCCATTTTCAGTCTCTGAAACCCCAAGAGAGGGTCAGCTGTGAATCTCTTCTGACGGAATGGTGACTAGTCTGACTTGAGTTCTGAGTCTACAGGGCGGCTATGAGTGGAATCTACTCGGCTTCCCCAGTATTTGCTCACCACACCCTCCTGCCGGCCCTATGAGGCGGGTCATTTTATTATTCCCATGTTACAGATGAGGAAACTGAGGTCCAATGAAGTTATCTCACTTGCCACAGGTGTACAGAAAGTGGGGGCTCCACACCAGGCAGTCAGGCAGCAGGGACCAGGCTCCTGGTCACTGTCAGTGTTTTAGACAGAAGCTTCTCTCTACTTTCGTCATTGTCACTCTACCCTCCTACCCCCTTCTTTTGAGGCTTTGTCAGTATGACTCAAATAGACCCCAGACAACAGATCTGAACTGTATCCTGTACCATCGTCATGGTTTCCGCTGTGCTTGCACCCGTTCTTGCAGTCACTGTGTCAATCATCTCGTTGAGGGTCTCCCTCTTTTACTACACCTCTATCTTTCCCATCATGATGATTTCCCCCCCTAAGAACTGGGCCCTCCTGACAGCGTGCCAGTGTGAGGCAAAGTTTCACCATCCTTGGCTCTAAGGAGCGCCATGGTGGTATTTCCTCCAAGTCAGACTTACTTGTTCTTCTGGTGGTCCATGGCATAGTTAGAACTCTCCTCCAACAACACAGTTCAAAAGCATCAATTCCTGGGTCTTTATTTATTGTCCAGCTTTCACACTCAGATAGAAGCAGCTGGTCAAATGCAAATGAGCCCACCACAGAGAGCCCAGGCCTGTGCTTGAACTTCCCTTTCAATGAGCCTCACTCCAGGCTGGGGTCCTTCAGAATGTTCTAGAAGCCCAGATGCTCCGTGAGTGTCGTTTGCACCTGGTGGGTCTTCTCTGGAGGAGATGATGAAGGCAGCTGCGTTGGGTGGAAGGGGACAGATGGCAGTCCCCATATCTTGGGAGCAGGGCGGAGATTCCAGAAGGATCTATCATTACAGACACAATGGGCCATTAGCTCCATGAATCTGAATCTAGTTAACCCAAGCAAGCCTTTGATCCTGTCTCTCTTCTCCCTGCCTCCCAGCTTTGCCTCCTTTTTGCTTCTTGTCTCATTAGAGGAGCTTTGGTGGCATAGTGGTTACGCACCTGGCTGAGGAACCAAAGGTCTAAAGTTCAAATCCCTCAGCTGCTCCAAGGGAGAGAGAGGTGACAGTATGTTTCATACTCTGTGAAAACCCCAGGGGCAGTTGGACCCTCTCCTTCAGGATCTCTACAGAGTGGGCATCAACTTATCCCCTTAATTATAAAACCAGCTCCTCTATCAGGAGTAATGAGCGGCCCATATTTTAAAAGGAAGCCACAGCCGTGAGTCACCTTCTCTGAGTCAGTGGGGCTGGCGCTGGCATTTGTTTACAAGCTGTTCTGAAAAGAACCCACTTTTACCAGTAAGGGAACGGAACTGGAGAGACTAACGGACCTGTCTGTGGGGTAATCAGCTCAGGGACAGCACAGCGCACTGGGGTCCCAGGGGCAGAGGACCACAACCTTGACCCCCATCGGCAGCTGCTTCCAGGGCCACCTCAGAACCCACTCTTTGTTCCAGGTGGTGCTAAGTCACCAAGACCATGCAGTGTGTTCTGGTGCCTTGTTTATACTGTCAGCATCTTCCCTGCTTCTGACAGTTCTCCCTGATCAGTGACTGCCTTCCTGCTGGGGGCCTCTTGGGCTGTTTCCAGTTGTTCTCCGAGATAACAGTCTACTTGGTGTTTATACCAGGAGCTATTTGGTTTGGTCTGAAGCTGAATGGGCAGAGCTTGGAGATGGGAGGAGGGGCCCTCCCAGACCCGGGTGCTGGGCATCTGGGTGTGCCTGTGCCAAGCTGTGGGTGCCCCCCTCACCCTGCTCCAGCCCTGGGAACCTTTGTAGTCAGAGCTGGGGCCCCTGTGTCTTTGGGTCACAATGTTCTCATGTCATCAGTTACTTCCAGGAGAAATGCCTTTGTAGGACCCAGTAGGAAAAGGACCCCCACTCTCACCAAGTTTTGGCCTAGAGAATGGGCGCAGAGACTGCTTCAGTTAGAAAACCTCAGACAGGTCTATCAAGTGGAAAACTTGGAGGTGCTGGGTAGAGATTGTAGGTGGGAATAAACCCAGAGGACTGGCTAACAAGCACAACTGGGGATTTGTTTTCTAACCTTGGGTGAGAAATGGGGGGGGCCCCATGAGGACTCATTGCCATGGAGTTATTTCTTACTAAAGAGCAACAGTGTCACTTTAAAGATTAAGGTGTGCCTGACCCAAGACATTGATTCATATGCATGTGAATGTTGGACAGCGGCTGGAGAAGACCAAAGAAGATGTAGGAGTGATTGTATATAAAAAGAAATGATTGTGTGAGACACAGTAAAAAGAAAAAAGAACACTGAAGACCTGAGGGCTTTAAATTGTGATAGAGGTGAAGAATAGTGGGCATTCTTGTTGAATAGTGACTGCCAGGAAAACAGACAAATTTGCCTTGGAAGACACACAGCCAGAGTGGTCCTTAGAAGCAAATCTTGTCAGACCTCTTACACACTTTGGGCATGTCGTCAGAGGGACCTTCCTGGAGAAGGACACCACACTTGGGAAAGTCAAGGGTCAACAAGAGGGAGAAAGACCCTCAGCGAGATGTATTGACATGGTAATTGCAGCAACAGGCTGAGCATAGGGGGGACGGTGAGCATGACCCCCGAACAGGGAGGGTCTCATTCTGCTGTGCGAGGGGTCACACATGGCACCGTCGCTGACTCCGTGGCCCCTGACGACAGCAACAACATGACAACCCCAAGTGTTAGTGTGGTCCTGTTCCCACAAGGGTGTGATATTTACGGACACAGATGGCCAGGCCTTTCTTCCGAGGTGCCATAGGATGGGTCTAGCAGCTGTCAGCAGTTGGACCTGTGATGAAGCCTCTGACCTGTTTGAATGCAAACTCTTTGAGCAAATCAAGAGACCTGACGGTGGAGCAAAGGCACTGAGGTGAACTGTGTGCCTGTTGTATGTTGGTCATCAAGCTAGGGAGCTCAGAGAGCTCTGGTGGCCTAGTGGCAAGAAGCTGCACTGCAATCCCAGAGGTATGCAGTTTGAATCCACGAGATGCTCTCCTGGAGAAAGAGGGGCAATCTCCTCCTGTACCAATAAGATCTGATTTGATGGTAAACACATACAAAATAATAAAATTGAAAAAAACCCCAACAAGCTAGGGACCTTACACACCTTCCTCTAATCTTTCCAGCAGCTCCATCTGCACGCACTGTGTACACATTGCTGTCAATCCACCTGGCCCCTGCTGACCCCCATGTGTTGCAGGGTGTTCAGCGGCTGACTGCAAGCACCTGGCCGTTGTCCCAAGGTGCCACTAGGGATATTCAAGCCTCTAGCCAAGTGGATTAGTGGTTTGACCACTCAGAGACACTGTCTGCAAATGTGAGGCACTCGTCTCTGGCCCAGGCAAGGCTGTTTCCTGGAAAGGCACACCATGCTTTGATAGATGGATGGTCACTGAAGGAGAGGAGGACCTTCAACCAGATGGATTGACATGGTGACATCAGCAATATGCCTTAGAGTGTCACGGATGATGAGGATGTCAGAGGATAGGGCAGGGTTCAGGTCAGCTGTTCACAGGGTTGCTGGGAGTTGTACTTAATGGCACCAACAGCAACATCATCTCCGGTCTGCACTTGCATTATTTGGGAACAAGGCTCAGACCACCCTGGATTTTGACTCAGTCTCGTGCCCTTTGTGGTGATAGCTGCTTCCAGGCTGAGTTCTAGCAGCTGTCAGCAGCTGGACCCGTGATGAACATATTCAGGCCACCTGAGAAACATGCAGAAAGGTGAAGAAACTGGGATCTCAGGCCAAAGACAGGTGTGTCCCCGGAGGGTGCCAGGCAGAGTGGGGCTCTGAGTCAGGATGTGGGAGAGCGATGACTTCTCAGCTCCAGCCTGGGGTCAGAGAGAAAAGGGAACAACCTTCATCCTGTCTCTGGACTTGAATACCAGGGAACAACTGGGCCTGCATCACAAAGGCTGTGGAGGGAGAATTCCAGAATGTTCTGAAGCTTTACATGCTTAAGAATTGTGTCCAGCTTTCCCTCTGAAAGCCAGCCATGGTCAAGTCCTCCCCAGCCTTGTTACAGATGTGACTGTGTCTCCCTGGTGATGCGGTTTGTAACATATCAGACTGTGAACCCAAAGGCCGGCAGTTAAGATCCACCAGCCTCTCCATGGGAGAAAAGATCAGTCTACTCATGGCAAGATTTACAGCCTCACACACCTGATGCTGAGGTGTGCCATCGAGTCAGATCCAACCCACAGCTGGCCCTCCGGCGAGTTTCCAGAGACTAAATCACACAACAGGAGATCACCCATCTTTCTCTTGTGGGGCAGCTGGAGGAGTTGAACCACGGTCCTTTGGGTTGGCAGCACAGCTCCTTATTACAAGGCCACCAGAGTGACCTCAGACACCTGACGGAGGGTCACTGTGAGTCAGAATTGACACCATGGCAATGACTTTGGTTCGCTTTGGGTTAAATGTGAGTTAAGTAGTGCTGGTGGTATAGTAGATGTTGGTTTGCTAGTTGAAAGATCAGTGGTTCAAATCTAGCGGCTGCTCTGAAGAAGAATGAGGGGACAGTCTGTTTCTGTGAGATTTATTACCTTGGGAATTCAATGGAGAGTCTATATGAGTCAGAATTGATCCCGTAATTCCCCAGCAGTGGACACTGCCCATCACCCTGTCGAGGTGTGGCTGGTGGACTCCGTCTTTCAGTTAGCAGTATGTCGTGGTGTGCATCCGCCACCGAGCTCACCTAATGCCAGCACTGAGCACCATTGTCCACCAGGAAAGGCCCTGAGAGACTCCGTCCGCCCTGGGTTCTCACTGGGGGCTGGTGAGGGAGGCACCTCTGTCTGGCTCTGTACCAAATCCTAGACCCCCTCAGAAGGAAAGTGGGTGCACTGAGCCATTTCATGACTCAAGGTGCCAGGAAACTTCCACTCCAGCCCAGCGCTCACTTTGTAAGCAGGTCTCAATAGAGACAGCATTCCCAGGTGGGCTTTGTCACCTCTCTCTGCACCTGACGTACACTTGAGGACAGTACTTGGCGCTGCTGAGCCAGGGGCCTTTGTCCCTGTGTGCCCTTACAGAGAGGGGCCCTTAAATGGTGTTAATATTGCAAAGATGTGCCTGGTGTCATATTCACTAGTGTGGACACATCCTGAAGGGATTAGGGTCTTGACTCAACCCTTTAATGCCACCATGATGTACATGAGCCCACCACCAACAGCTTCAATTTATGTGTGGTTTTCCAGCCCTGCTGGCAATAATTTGTGATGAATTTGTGGCAGGCTCAGTGTGAATCAGTCAGCACATTTATATCATAAGACAGCCTGCAAGGTAATTTGCCTCCCGTTGTCTGCCAATGTCCTGCCACCATTTGGAGGTGTCCTACGCCCGTCGTCCTGCCTGGGTCTGGAGAGGTTTATCTGTTGCCAGAAACTTGGCCTGAAGCTTCTTGACCGGGGAGATGGTGCTGCTTTAGTCATGGCGGCGTAGAGCTGAGGTATAACTAGTCTCAGCCCTGGTTTGGTGGTTGTGCCCTCAAGCTGATTCTGACTCACAGCAGCCAACAGAGCCAGAATGAACCCCACCTGCCCCAGCCAGGCCTCACAATCTGATGTTTGATTGGACCCAGCACAGCTGCAGAGTGAATCCACCTCGCTGAGGGTCTGACCCTCTGCTTTTCTGAGTGTGGTGTCTGTCTGCAGGAATGGTCCCTCCTGGCAACACGCCCCAAGCGTGGGAGGTGAAGTCTCACTATTCTTGATTCGCAGGAGAACCCTCTGGCTGTCCTCCTTTCAAGTCAGAGTTGTGTGTTCTTGGGGCGGCAGTCCCTGGCGTAGCCAACATTCTTGGTCAACACAATTCAGAGGCAGTTCTTCAGCTTTCCTTATTCAGGGTCCAACTTGGGCATACATTATTTTCCCAGACCTGTCATAACAAAGGACTACAAATGGACGGCTTAGAACAGAAATGTACTACTTCCTTCCAGCAGCCCAAAACGAAGGTGATAACAGCAGATTCTTTCTGGAGCTTGGAGCTCTGTGGGAGAAGGATGGGCAATCTCCTCCTGTGTGATTAACTGTCCCTGAAAACCTGCTGGAGGGTCAGCTCTGGGTCCGTTCTTAATTGATGGTACATAACAACAACAACAACAACAACAGTGTAGTGCAATGAAAATGTTTGATCCTGTCTATTGTTTATGTTTCATTTTTTAGATGATGCTTTTCGAAGAGTATTTATATTTTTTAAGCAATTTAAAAAAATTTATACTGATATATTTATAAAGTTTCAATACATTATTTTTGACAAAAGATCCTTCCCATTTCCTTCACTCCTCCACCCACAGAATTGTGTGATGCCATGATGAACACCCCTCCGTCCTCATCCCTCGGCTTCCACCCCAATTCCAACCCCCTTAGATCCCCATACTTATTCTACAATAATAGTTTTTATACAGTATTTGCCCTTGTGGGACGGAGTTAGTTCACTCAGCATAATGCTCTCCAGTCCCTCCCAAGTTAGATATTAATCTAAAAACCATTGCTTCTGTGTGCTGCGTAGTTTTCTGTTGTGTGAATTTACCACAACTTCTCAATCCATTCTTTTGTTCTTGCAATGGTGAATAATGCCTCTATGAACGTTGGTGTACAAATCTCCATTTAAGCCTCAGTTCTCATTATATTGGGGTATATTCCAAGCAATGGAATAGCTGGGTCAAATGGAATTTCTATGTTCAGCTTTTTGAGGACACACTAAACTGCCTTCCAGAGTGGTTGTACCATTTTACAACCCCATCAACAATGTATAAGTGTTCCTATCTCGCCACATCCTCTCCAACTTTTATTACTTGCTGTCCTGATAAATTTTGCTACCACTCCTGGAGTGAGATAGAATCTCATTGTGGTTTTGATTTGCATCTCTCTTACTGCCTGTGATTTGGAGCATTTCTTCATATATCTGTTGGCCAATTGAATATCTTCCTCTGTGAAATCTTTCCATGTCTTTTGCCCATTTTGTAATTGGGTTAATACTTTCATTTTTATGACATCTAGCATCAAAATCATAATTCCCCCCCCCTTTTCTGTCATGCACGGAGTTGGAAATTTGTTTATCAAAGGCTCCGAGTCAGTTCGGAGGTGGACATCCAGACTTGTCACTTTCAGGAGAGGTCACTTAGTTACTCTGAGGCTCAGTTTTATAAGATAAAAACAGGCCCCATGACAAGTCTGTTGTTCGATGAGACTGAGCTCAGGCAGAACTCAGTTGAGTTCCTTGCACGTGTACCTGGAGTTGGAACCAACTCATAGCCGACCCTCCGCAGGGTTTTCAGAGGCAGTTAATCACATGAGAGAGAAGTGCCCATCCTCCCACAGAACAACTGGAGGATTCAAACCTCGTGCCTTTGGGTTTGCAACATAGCTTCTTACCACTAGGCCAACAGATCTCCCACCTTGCACAGAGGAAGTGTTTTTTTTTTAAAGCTGTTTTGTTTTATTCGCTGACCTGCAATGGGCTGGAAGTAACACGCTCTGTTGTTTGTTTTCAGTACATCAAGGCCTTTTTCAACGAAACCTGGCAACAAAGACATGGACATCCAATCGACTCGGACACTCTGACGCTGCTCTGGTCTGTGACGGTGTCCATCTTTGCCATCGGTGGACTCATGGGGACCTTGATGGTGAAACTGATCGGAAAGTTTCTTGGGAGGTCAGTGGGGCGTGTTTGAGGTTTGTCTATGTAATGTGCCAGATAGCTCAGCATTGTAGTCAGGATCCCAGCAGGAAACAGAATTCTACCTACAATAGAAGAGATTTTGATGAAGAGGTTTCTTGCTAGAAGGGACAAAAGGAAGGACTCCAGGTTTTAGGGGCCAGGGAGAGCTGAAGGCACAGGTAACGGGGTCAAGAAAAGAGCTGAGGTTGTAGAGAGATTAGACCATGTCAGAACCTTAGCACCCGGCCTAGGAGCTGCAGGAAAGAATTCACTGACTCTTCTCCTGCCTCCAATCGCCTGTTGATGTCTCCACTGGTCAAACCCAAGTGGGAGCTAGAAAGCAAGGAGTCTTGTTAATGCCAATCCAGGAGGGTCAGATGCCCAGGGTACAGAGCAGGACAGAGAGGGGAGACAATGGTGTGGAGTTAGGGGCCAAGGAGAGGGGAGTGCAATGAGAGATGGTTCCACATAAACACATACTCATTGTTATCAGTTGTTGTTGAGAAGGCCCATCTCATCGGGACACATGTACAGTGGAATAAATCATTGCCTGCTTGTGACGGCTGGTCCAAGCAAGTTCATGGTCCTGCACTCGTAAGGAGCCCTGGTAGCAGCACGGTGTATGAGGTTCAGGCTGTTAGCTGAAAGCTCGAAGGTTGGAATCTACCCTATGCTCTGCAAGAGGAAGATGAGCAAGCTCCTCCTGTGAAGGTTTCCGGCCTCAGACACTGGTCACCGTGAAGCCACTCCACTCAACAGTAGTGGGTCTCTTTGGGTTTGGTGAGCGTGGACAATACTCTGTTGTGATCGATAAGGCTTTCACTGGAGTTAACAGTTAGGACTTGCTTCCTAGTCTTAGCATAGGAGCTCTGTCTGCCACGAGGGACCCTTTCGGTGTTTGAGGTATTAGGGTAAGAGCTTCCAGCATCATGACAACATGCCCACCACAGCACGGCACCTGCGGGCGAGTGGTGGTGGGGATTGTTGCTATAGCCGCACGATCATTTACTCATCCAGCCCCTTGGTGGCAGCCACTGAGGTTAGCTCACATCTTTGTTGTTACAAACAAGCTGCAGTGATTTTCAGAAACGTCATGGTGACATTTCCCACGCAGACCATTTTCACTCAGACCCCCAGTACCTTTCACACCTCATTCCTTACTTTATGTTTTTAAAAGGCATATTATTCTTATTTGGAAGGAGCAATGGCATCCACTTCCATAATAGTTTGCCTCCGGAAACCCTATGAACCTGGAGAGAGGATGAGAGACACATAAGCGTTGAGGACTCACCTTCATAGGGTCGCTATGAGTCACCTGCGACTCGACGGCACTTAAAACAACAACAACAACATTATTCTTATTGTTCTTCCTCTTATTATTTTTTACATTTTTGTTGTGCTTTGAGTGAAAGTTGACAGAGGACTTGGTTTTAGTTTTCAACAGTTTACCCACGTTTTACTTTGTGACACTGATTGCTAGACCCAAAATGTAATAACAATTTCCTGTGTCTTTTCTATATTTATAATTTCCATTTATTTTCTCCTGGCACATTCTTGTTGCTATTTGCTGTCAAGTCAACTATGACATATAGTGACGCTATGAACAATGGATTTAAACCCTGCCCTATCCTGTGCCATCCTCGTCATCTCTGACACACTTGAGCCTGTTGCTGCAGTCACTGTATCAATCCATGTCATTGAGGGTCTTCCCCTCCTTTGCTGATCCGCCACCTTTCCAAGTGTGACGCCCTTTACAAGGACATGAGGACTTGATTTGCTGACAATATGCCCAACATACGTGACGGAAGGTCTCATCATCTTTGTTTCTAAGGAGCACCGTTGGCTGTATGTCTTCCGAGGCATATTTACTTTTTCTTTTGGAAGTCCATGTATAACCAGTATACTTGGCCAACAACACACTGTTCAAACTCATCTCCATAGAGACCTGAGTTGGAGTGAAGATTTGCTAGATTCCGAGAAAGCACTCTAGACATTGAAGAGCTGCAGAAACACTATGAAAGCAAGGTCCTGCTTACTCTTCTACATTCATGGCTATGACAAAGAACAGGTCAGAGCTTCAGAGCTCTTCAGATTAGAGTTTCAGAGCAGGCTTTCCAAAGGTTGGAGCGGGAAGCCATCCCTTGAAGGTATCAGTGGGAAGCTCATAAAGGCACGTGGTATCCCACTGAGGAAGGGAAGGCCACCAACTTCCTTGTCCCCAAGGCCACTTCCTAGGCAGTAACAAATGAGAACTCGGGCCTGGAGAAAGGTAACTATAGTAGAATAGAGGGATGTGTCTAACCTAATATCCCAAGCACATGCCTACCTTTTTTGAGCAATGTTTCTACTGTGGTGTGTGTGTGTGTGTGGATGGGAAATGGACGTCCAGAGGGTTAAGGGCATGTCCAGGCTCAACCTGCTTATATGGTGTTTCAGGCTGGAGCCTCCACATGACCACTGCAGCACAGTGACCTTTCCACTCTGCCAGGAGCTCCTACTCTGGTTCTTCTTGCACTTATAGCCTGGTCCCACACAACAGGTCCCTCAACCCTTGTTAAGTGTCTGGTGCGAGCCAAACTGTCCCGGCAGGTCTATCTCAGTAACCTTCTGCCTTCTCCCCGGCCATGGTAATTTGTATCCCAGAGTTCCATAAGCAGGTTCTGAACACAAACAGATGGAGTCGAGAAAGTTGTACTGGACTCAGGGTCACGTGATTTGCCACTGTGAGTCCTGACTTCCCAGTTTACCAGGTGTGCTATGTGTAGACCTTATGCATGACCCCTCAGTTTTTCTTACTTGTGAAATGAGGACAGAATAGTGATTTTGATACCCTAACAACGAAGAAGGGGAGAAATCAAAGTAAAAATAAAAAAGATAAATGCAAATAAAAAATAAGAGTACTGAATATCAACTGCCAAAAGGACACATATGTCTTGGAGGAAATTCAGCCAGGGCACTTCCTGGAGGCAAGGACAGTGAAGCTTCATCTCACATATTTTGGGCATCTTGTTAGGAGGGGGCCAGTGCTTAGAAAAAGAGCAAAATGCTTGTAAAGAGGGAGAAAGATCCTCCACAAGATGGAACGACACAGTGACTGTGACAATGGCTCAAGTTTAACAGTGATGAGAAGAACGGTGTAGGGTACAGCAACGATCTGTTGTTCATAGGGTTCCTATGAGTTGTAACTGACTTGATGGCAACTAGCAGCTTCTTACTTACATACACCATTAATCAAAGCAGATGTGGTTTGCCCCTCTGCAGCAAAGCAGAAGACAGTTGTAAGATTAGAATGAAGTACACAAGCTTTGACGTAGGATCCTGCGTCAGAATCTTGGGCAAGTTAAACCACTACATTCATCCATTCATTAAACAAATTTGAAGTACAACTCTGAGCCAAACACTTGAACTTCAATAGTTATCAAGAAAGAAGAGCAACACAATGCCTGCTGCCTGGAGTGAATGTGTCCAGTCAGGGAGCCAGTTACAAAAGTCATTGTAATTATGGGATGTGTTATGGAAGGGTAGAAGAAATACAAGAAAAGTCAATGACCTGCTCTTTAATTTTTAAATTTATAAACAATTTTAAACCCATAAAAAAGTTTATCATTTTAAGACCTCTAAAATTTTAAACCTATATAGCCTATTTTCAATCTATAAAATATTTTTTAAAATTGATTTTAATGAAAGTTTACAGAGATTTTGGATTTCCATTCATACATTGTACTTTTCTCCCTGTCCATCCCTTCCCCTCTGTTCGCTCTTCTCTTTGAAAGGTAAAAAACAATTAAATAAATTCTTTCATTGTTATACAATCCTACACACTCCCCAAATCTATAAAATCTTAAATTTAACGTCTCTAAACCTATCCTAGGGAGCAACTATGATGATTGGGAGGGATAGTAGTTAGAAAATATTCATGTCACACAAGGAGGCTTTGCAAATGTTGGTGACAAGGACCGGAAGCAAACAGGCTTAGGTTAGAAATGGTATGAATTCATTCACTTAGTGAACTGTAATGTGCTTTAACTCAGCTTGTGTAACATCGTGATAAGTCTGTCTCCTCTTCTTGGCTCTACCTGTCCCCTACACTGGCTTTGCCCTCCAAGGGTCTTCTGTCATGTGGGCCAAGCTGGCCCCAGGAGTTCAGGCTGGCATTGTTCCTGCTTAGCATCTCCGGCACAGGGGAGAGCTTCCTCTTCCTGAGATTCTAGTGTTAAGTCCCACAACTGAATGTCATTGGCCTGAGTGAGGCTCATGCCCTCAGTGACTCCTAATCAGGGATACTTCTCTCCCACTCTCACCCCTGAGAGGGGAAATTTGACCTTGACTGGAGTTTTATCTGCTATTTATCCTAAAATTCACAGAACAGTGAAGCCAACAAACAATTTTCTGGCCTGAAATGACAGTGACGGTTAAGAAACCCTCCCTGTCCTTCTCATCCTCTCCAACCAATTCCATGGCCTTGACTGACCAAGACGGAATCATTTTGGGTGTTGCGGGTAAAGTGGTGAAATGAGCATTACTAGAGTTCATGCACTGACGGTGGGGAAGGAAAGTATTTTAGAAAAAAAAATTCAAGACTTCCACTAGAAGAGTAAACTGAGGAGAACCAACCTGAAACACTTGCTGTTGAAGGTTAAGGACTGTAGTCTTCAATATGAATTGAAGTTCAGCATCAAGAAGACAAAGATTATTACCACTGGCCAATAGGCAGCACCATGATGGATGGGGAATAGATTGAGGATATTAACAATTACTTGCTTGACACCACAACCAATACTCTTAACACGAGCAGTCAGGAAGTCAATAGATGAATTTCACTGGGACAATCTGCTGTCAAGGACCTCTCCAGAGGACCGAGAAGCAACGATATCAGTCTAGAGACTAAGGTGTGCCTGACCCAGGCCATGGTCTTCGCAATTACTTGCTACGTATCAGAGAGCTGGACAATGATAAGGATGACAGAAGAAGAATTGATGCCTTTGAGCTGTGGT